AAATAAAAAATTTATATCTTTATGTTTGAAGCCTGAAATGTGGCAAAAGGTTGAAAAGTTCAAGGGGGCCGAATACTTTCGCAAGGCACTGTACTTATTCCAAGGGGGAGAGTCTGAGATTCTCAGGATGATCCATTATAAGTTTGCAGAAGACAATGGAAGGTAACTGTGACCAAGGTCAACTACAGAAAAAAATACTCTTAAAACAGAAAAACAAAAAATAATTGTAACATAATGTACAAAAAACAAGAGCAATTCAGCAAATAAGATTTTTGTTTACATTTCTTGGTTCAATTTCTTTTGCACAAACTGATACTGCTGTCAAAGGTTCAAACACTGTGGCACCAAAAGCAAACTGCAACACTAGACAAGTCTCACAAATTCATATTGAGCATGAGTACAAAATCTGAGTTATGTGCAATGATCTGTCCACTACTTTTCTAATTTAAGCAATACAGTTTTAGCATGCATACCAACATGATGTGACCTGCGATTAGCACTGTAAACCAAGCCAGATAGCTAATGACAGTTTATAGTACGAGAATAGTACGAGATTTCAAGTCTAAGCATTTGAGTCTTAATGATGACCTTCTGGTCTGAAAGGAGCTGTGAAGATATGGGTACTGTTGTGGCTATGACCTCAACCTAAGGATTTTTTATCTATCAGAGTATGGAAACTTGGATAAGATGGGGCAGATACATTTTTGTCTTGGGATATTATGTTACTAAGTAGGTGTAGCATGAAGTAATTAATAATAATAATTAATAATTGCTTACACTTATATAGCGCTTTTCTGGACAGTCCACTCAAAGCGCTTTACAGATAATGGGGACTCCCCTCCACCACCAGCATCCACCTGGATGATGCGACGGCAGCCATAGTGCGCCAGAATGCTCACCACACATCAGTTATCAGTGGGGAGGAGAGCAGAGTCTAAGTCTAAGCCAATTCATAGATGGGGATCATTAGGAGGCCATGATTGGTAAGGGCCAATGGGAAATTTGGCCAGGACACCGGGGTTACACCCCTACTCTTTTCGAGAAACGCCCTGGGATTTTTAATGACCACAGAGAGTCAGGACCTCGGTTTTAAGTCTCATCTGAAGGACGGCGCCTGTTTATAGTATAGTGTCCCCGTCGCTATACTGGGGCATTAGGACCCACATAGACCGCAGGGTGAGCACCCCCTGCTGGCCCCACTAACACCTCTTCCAGCAGCACCTCTTCCAGCAGCAACCTTAGTTTTTCCCAGGAGGTCTTCCATCCAGGCACTGACCAGGCTCACACCTGCTTAGCTTCAGTGGGTTGCCAGTTGTGAGTTGCAGGGTGATATGGCTGGAATCCTAGTACTGCTAGGATTGCAGGCTGTTGTGTCTTTGATGATATAAATGCTCTTGCTATTATTGTTTTAAAGTATTAAGCTACACAGCAACATTATGGAAACTGATTTCCTTGCTTCTTTCAAAAATCAATCTAATGTGGTACCCAGATCAACAGCCTACAAGCTACCAAATGAGCTAGATGTTCCAAATAGCCTCCACTCATTTGTATCCTCTCTTCTGTTAATGCCATTTTAATTGTCTCATTAAGGAATGAGCACATCAGAAGATAAAAGTGCATTGCATATTAAATAGCATTACAATAGGTAATTGTAATGACAAGGTATAATGCCAAAGTATGATTAAATCCTCTGTGGCTGGGTGGCTGTGGTTAACTTTTCTTTAGCAATATCCAGTTCATAAATCTCATGGAAACAATGTTTGTGGGTAGAGCTTGGTATTATGTTTACAGTTTAAGGCAACAAACAGCATTTTAAAGTTTTTAAAGTTTTTGGGAGTATGAAGCAGTGGTTTACATTTCTGTAAAACGTAACCCAGTCAGGCACCTTTAAGATAGAGATCTGGAGAAATGGTCCTGGAGAAAGACAATAAAAATTATTAAATAAAATAAAAATCTTTACCCTCCTACCAATGCAGATTTCAAACAACTGAATATTCAGCAGTTTGGTCAGATCCTAATAAATGCAATAGCAGAAAATTAGAGGTGTGTTTGGTGTAACTCACCCAGCTGAGGAAATGGCAGTCTAACTG